TCTTGCATCAGGATACACACATCTTGTGACGCTGTAGCTGAGCTGCTCAGTTCGTTCAGTGCCTCGCAGCTTCAAGAAATATGCTACAGCTATAAAATAAGCGATGCTTGGGTCTATCCTGCTGCAATACTTTGGCTGCATGGCAACAGCTGTAAGCTTCGAGGAAATGCCAGGCTCTGATAGCGCGGTCAACAGCTGTTGAGGAAATGCCAGGCGAGATCAAGATGAGACGACGCAGTAAACAACGTTTACCGAATCTTAACATTTTTTTTCTGTGGCCGAAAAAAGAGATAGATCCTATAAATGAATGAAGAGATAAATTCAATATATAAAAAAAGAAATATCTATTTATATATATTGAATAGTGAAATTTGGTTGGACATAAGTACATAATACACGTAAATAGGATACAACACAAAAATTTCGAGCCAGAAAGTCCTTACGCAAACAATCTCAAATTCTATTTTAGACAAATCTGGTAGCTTGGAAATCGATAGCTGGGGTCCAATTCAAAATTAAGACGGTTCCAGCAATCGTTGGTCGATTAATGTTGTGCACCTTTGCATGATGACGCTGGTGGGTTTCTCCAGCACGGTGCGAGCGACAGTCTTGTGAGTTTGTCTCAGGGGGCTTCTCTGCCCTCCAGGTTGAAGATGACAGGTGAGACGGTCTCAATGTCGTGGTTGTTAGTCCAAATACTCCAATGTAGTCCAAATGATGAAGAAGTCTACAACCTTCTTTGAAGCAAAATTTATGAACTACACTGGCCACTTTATATATAACTATACTAATATATATAGATAGTATATATATTAGTGTAGTTAGGCATAAGTTCTTCATTTATATAGGTTTGGTTGAAGACCAGCGCGTACTTTTTTTTATTAACAATTTTCTTATCGCTTTTTTTCAATAAGCCGAACGAAATTTCTTGCTGAAGCTTGGAAATCAAAAAGCAGATTACCAAATGACATTTTACTGGAATACGAAATTTCGAATATATCAATATTCATTATCAAGCAAGTAAAGAGTTATTACAACGCCTAAAATTGAAATTTGGACATAAGTTCATAAAAAAACCATCGTAGATACGGTTTAAAATCGAAAATCAAAATCATTCGAGAATAATTTAAACATCCTGACGAATCCGGTGCTTTGCAGATTGATGGCAGGAGACTCGTCCATGATGATGAGAGCCTCTGCTATCGACAGCTCATAGTGTCGGGGCACCGCATGACGATGCTGGTGCAGGCCTCCAACGGGGCACGGGTGATGGTCTCGTTGTGGGCCTCCCGCATATGGTTCTTTGGTCCTCCAGCTTGCAGATGGCATGTGAGTCTGCGGCTCAATGTCGTGCTGGTCAAACCGATGTAATTTACATTTTGGAGAAGTCTACAACCTTCTTTCAAGCAGGAAAATTTGTAAATGACATTGGTTTCTTGCAGCGGTCATGAATTTTTACGCGGATTGTTTTTCATGATTAAATTCTTGATCTTTTTGTTTCTGTAGTAAATAAAAAGTTGTATTCGGTCAGTTGCTGTTGTGCAGCTGATGCTATTTTGCACAATTGAATTGAGGACTCGTTCATCAGTCCTACGACCGCTGTTCATAAGATTTTATAGTAAATTCTGGTGACGCAACCTCTTGATGCGGATTCATCTGTTCGGTTTTGACGTGTATGAAAATATTGTTGCGGTATAATAATTATAACCGGAACTAGAAATGGACTGAAAATATTGTATTATGTCACATGGGCTAGATGAAGGATCTCCTGCTTTCAATTCTTACCCCTCTCTCTCTCTCTCTCTCTCTCTCTGTCTTACCTCCTCCCCCCACATGTAATGGACTGCCTGAAAAACTTCTTGGTTTGGCGCCTTGCCCCCATCCCATGTGGCAGCGCCATAACAACGACATATTCTGGATGTGGCGGGCTGTTAGAGTTCTCCTCTCTATGAGCCATGGCGCAGCGCTTTTTTAGAAATAACTGGCCGGCTTTTATTTCACGGCTCCATCCGGCTAAAGCGTGGCGAGCTCAGCTAAGCCCTGCGCCGGAATCATCTCAAAATTTTAACTGGGGCAGATTGGCCTAAAGCCGTAGGTAATGCTGGCGCTAATCTTCAACTTGGACATATAGGAAACAGCTAGACTCACACTATCCTAAACTGGCATAAAATTTAATAAATACTAGGCGTTTTCTCAAATTCGTCCACATTTTGATTGTCTCCCATGAAAGTCAATAGTGTCATGCCCTTTCATTCAAGATCACAACGTTTTTTCACATAGTTTTCACGTGGATTTTCATGGTAATTGTTAAATTGACGTTATTTATGTTAAAGGCGCAATTATCATGGCAAGAAGTCTTCCATTGGGCTAAATACCCTACGAATTCCATTACTTCCTATAGAGACTATATATATAGCCATATGATACGCGAGTTTCTTTTCGAGCTGTCGGAGAGCAATGTTGACTCATGTCTGATCAACCGGATTATGTCCTAATGTAATATCAGGCGCAAATTTCCATTCTAAAAGGTCCTATTACAGAGAAAAACAATAAAAAATTAGCTTTGCCTGAAGTGCATGTAACATTCGAGTACAGTGCTGAAACAAAAATTTTCAACCGCAATTATAGTTAAGGAAATTCCACTTTATGGTTGTGAAGATATTAAAAATATCATCATAGATTTGAATAAATTGTGAAAGATCATTAATTCACATTTCACAGAAAACCATATTTTTCCTCACGAAATTACCTTGAAATTTTCTATAGTGCTTAACATTTTAGAAATATATATTCATAAATGTACTAAAAAATGATTTAAACTGTTATTGCTGGTTGATTTAGCCGTCAGTTCGGTAATGATCTCAATGACCGATGCCATGAGTTTTGCTTGCAGTACGTCCATCACGTACGACTCCGTGGGGGATGTACAGATAAGTGCATCTCGAGCAGCTGCAAGTCCTCGAAGTTTATGCCCTTGAGAGAAATAGCATTCGCGAATACCTGTATATTACGTTGTTTGATGTGTATGTACTTTTTGATATTATGCTGTTTTGTACATGAGGAGCTTCCGAGTGTTCTTCAAGTGCCTCGTATGTGATAACGCCGGGCGGATGAAGGTATTTATTGTAACACTTGTTTGTGGAAGTCATCATTGCTCTTCAAGAAGTAGAGGTGGCAGCGATTGACTACTTGACGGAGTTGGAACTGAATATTGTGGGTAAATATGTTATTGAATTATATAATTATATAATATATATAATTATATTATATAATTATATATAATTCGAATGCATGAGAATGCAGCGGGTCTTTGTTGCAGCCAGACTTATATTTACATTTAAAGTCAACTAGTTGACGTCTTTGGTTTACTTTATTCCGTGAAGACTTGGTGAAAAAATCACCGGCGAAGCTCCATCGTTGAGAACGAAATTAGTTGTACTTGTCACACTTAAGAGTTTTAAAGATCACACTTTAGATTTGCACCGCTGAACAAGAACTTGACTAAACAAACTCTTCATTAATCAATTTTAGTTTAGTAAATGAACATTTGGATTTTTTTTATGGCGGCCCTAAATCATTTTTATATATTTGAGATACTTTAAAATAATTTTTCAACGATTGGTAAGTGTGTTTGAAATAATTGATTTGAATATCGATGGATATAAATTAGTTTACAGGGTGTTTAGTATAGTAACTATTTCCTTCTAACCTTCACGGCGCAATTTTATTTTAATATATGGGACTTTTTATATTTGTGCTAATAACTGCTAAGTTTTTTATGTATGGTCTCTTGTAAGAACTTTGTTCAAATGATGTAAAAAATAATTTTGCTTCAAAATTTTCAATAGATAACAGGTCATGATTGTGAGAAATTCAGTATCGCGAATTCATTACGATTAACAAGTTATTTTCAAATAATTATTAAATTTTTGTAACAAAAAAATTTTATGTGCATTACATGACACGTCGTTATATAAAGAATGGAAGTTGGAGTATTCATTTAAAAAGCATTAGCTAGAATATTGATTTGTAAATGAAGAAAAAATAAATCAGTACGGTTGCAACGGATGACAAGAACTTCATTCTAAATGAATTGCGTTAATGAATTATGATGATGGAAATGTGCTAAACGAGTGTGAATGAACGCGAGTAAACCCCAGCCTGAGAGATAATTTTATGATGTGTGTCAAATGAATACTTGAAGACGTGGTTACGCTGAAAGCGACGTACTGAGATGAGAGTCGAGAAATTTGCGTGACTTAGAACTCATGTGGGTCTAAATGAGATTTTAAAGAGTGATATTACGATTATTTTTCAAGGAAGTATAACAATTTATCAGGGAAAGTTTTGAACATGAAAACCTCAAAGAACTTAAGATAGGTGAAGCGCTTTGAAAAGTTTCCAGATTGTGTGACTGGAAGGAACTGTTAGCCAAGAAGGCTGAGATATTGATGCGTGGCGTTAAGTCGCATGAAGTTTCGATCGAACAGTGGTTACGATCATACAGTTTGGTTACGCTCACTGATCGTGTAGGATCGCATTTATTTTCCCTTTGTTTTTAGAGTCACACATCAGCCTGCCTGAATTCCTAAATAACTGCCACGAAGGAAAGAAATGAATCATGAGTTTAGAATAGCTCGTTTTAGAGTCTAGACGGCAACCCATTGTCTTTTGTTGGCGTGTTATAAAGACTAAGTTACCGAAAAGTAAAGTAAAGTTACGTAGTAAGCTATGTATATAGCTTAACCTTATCATATCATAAAGATTGAAATTAGAGCCCGTGAGATACTATGATGCCCTGAAGTTGAACGTCGGAACTATAATTGCGTGGATTTTTGGTATAAATAATGAATTTGTAAATGAGTACCATATAATGCGTAAATGGTTTAATTTTAAATTATGATTAATTTCTACTGGCGATTGCATTGCGTACGCGTATGACGTTAAAACGGTAAGGTTTGAGAAAAAGGCGTTGGAAATTTTTTTCGCCATAGCTTCTTTATTTTTTTATTCGCGAAAAAAGGCCAAGAACAGAACGTATATCGAGGGCAAATTATTAATTTATTTAAATTATGAATTTCATTTAAAGTTAGTGTTGAGAAGGCTATTGGAATGTAGGCTGAAACTGTGTTTATATTTGTTTTTAAAAGTTAAGCACTTTCATATTAACTAATAAAAATGCTAAACCAGTTCAATGACTCTCCATTATTTATTGTTAGCATTGTTTCATTACTTGCACTCAAGTATACAGTCCTTGCAAACTCAAATAAAAGGAAAACCAATTTTTTCGCAGGTAATGGGTCGAGCGATGCTGTTAACATTGGTGGTGGTGATGGGTGTGGTGAGCGCATCGGCTAATGAGTGTGTCCAGTGTAAGGCGTGCACCGGTAACGAAGTCGCAACCACATGCCCGGACGGTTACGACGAATGCTATGTAAGAATAATAATATGCGTTTAAAAATTGCACTTGACAACACTTCTAAAGAGGCCAGGGTCTCCGATGTTACTAATGTACAAGGAAGTTATTTTTAATTTTAAATAAAAAAATTAATTTTTTAATATTAAAAAAGTTTAGTATTTGAAATTTGTTTTAGTATAAAAAAATTTCGTATTTTTTCAAATCATTCATTCTGTCAATTGATTCATGCATTGTCTCCAACTTTACGCAGGTGTGCAAAATTTCAGATCGTTTGGACAGGATAGAAGTGTGTTAAATATCGATCTTAAGATTTATAGCAGACAAACAAACAAACAACAAGAAGTGAAGTTAAAGAGAAGTGTTGTAAAAATATAACTCAGTACTCACTGTAATGAGTGACAGAGAGCGCATTTTCTCAAAATCGACGAAAATGTGAAGTCACGGACAGACGGACGGTCAGAGGGACAAACAGACGGTCGGACGGACGGACGGACATGACGAGTACAATAGCGCCTTTTTTTCATAAATGGGAAAATGCGTTAAAAAACGTCTGCACTAATGAGACCCTGCGACAGATTCCTATTGATATAGGTTGAAGTCACATACTTGATTTATAATTTTTTATCTCTAGCCAAGCAACTAGACTGTGATACTCGAGTCTTCAAATCTTGATAATTCCCGGACAAAGCTCGAGTCAGACATTCACAACTAGAGCAAAAATTAAATTTCAACACATTCAAAATCTCAGTCACCCAAGCAATTTGACTATCAGCAGAAGATAAAATTTTAATCCGACGAACTGATTGATTATTTTGGATTCACCGCTCTTATTCTTAAGTTCCCCGTGAGAGCTTTGGGGAAATTATGTTTTATTTATATCGGAATAATTTGATTAATGAATAATTTATATGCAATTTATTCAGCTTTCTAGCTATTAATTGCGGTTATTTGGATCATTTCTCGTTTTGGACCCATGATTGCTGAATATTACGCCATCTATCACAACTAAGTAGTTGCAACGAGCTTGTGAGGCAGTTCATTTGACAGTTATTTAAAAAATTTGCGATAGCTTAATAATGGAGAAACTCGATGCATAGACTCTATAGTCTATACGATACCTTGAGGCCTCAGTCGATTGAGAATATTTTTAACGTCAATCTCTATAACGAAGTAAATTTATTGTCTATTGTAAATTTATTGTCTGATGGATCAATTTAATTGCATATGTTTAACTTTAAGTTTTAATGATAGAGAAAAAATAGAATTTACATAATACGATGCATTATTTTCCGCCAGACGTCTACATTAGACGACGGAACTATACAGAAGGGATGCGCCACCCCGGCATGCGAGGACAGCTGTCCCAGTGAGAGCTCGCGGTCCCTTCAACTTGATGACCCAAAATTCAACATAATTCGTACGTTGAGTTATGGACAATGCTGATTATGAATGCTAGTGAATTTAGAGCAAGTTTCGAAAAGTGAACTGAGCAGATCAAAATTTAATTTTTGTTGAAGGCCATGGGTGAGAGTTTGACAAATTCGCAAAAGTTTAGGTGAGATAAAACTTTCTGTTTTCCAGGCGTGGCTATTCGATAATATTTTCTTTTTTGACCATAAAGTTGAGAAGTTCGAAGTCAATTTATTAGGGGATCTTAAAAATATTGCATTCATTGATGATAATTTCTTAAAACCTACATGCTCTAACTTTGTGATTGTAAACGCGTGCGAGAACAGAGTAGGTAAAATTACGAAGACGTGAATGTTCAGACTTGAAATGCTCATCATCTCACGGAGCTAGTACAAGTTACATGGCTACTTATTACAACGTCAGTTTTGACGAGATCTGGTTAAAATGCCAGTTTTTAAATATCCTGTAGCACGAATCGGTGACATGCCAAACTTGGCCAATTCTTCAGAGCCGACACTATTATGCTATATTGTACTAAAATGAGTTCGGAATAATTACATTGACTTTTATATTCATCATGCTTACATATTCAGATCAAAATATAATTTCTCGAACTGGTTACTTACATTCAATGCGCAGCGTTCTAATGATGTACCTCCTGCTTTAATCTTAGAAGCAAAATAACAACGGATTCTTTACGTAGCAAACATTGATGCCCGCGTGGTTTTATTATTACAGTCTGCTACAAGTGCTGCAGCGGCAGCGGGTGCAACGGTAACGGCGCGGGGCTCGCCGCCCCCGCTGGGCTGCTGCTGCTGCTCACGCCGCTCATCGCCGGCGTCCTGTCGCGATGAGAGATGCACTTCAACCGAGTCATTATTTTAGCGACGCTTATTTTCTTTTGAATCATTGATATTTTTGTTTTTCATCACTCATATGAATTGTATGATCTTTCAAATGGTAGAAATTTTATATGTCAGGTGTGTACTTGAAGTCAATCTAGGACTAAATAATAAATTTTACTTGAGAACACACTTCACAATCAAAATTTGCAAATTATTTCTTGTCTCTCGATGCTTTAGTATGTTTTTAGTATGTTCATAAATGTGTATAAATTCTAGTGTATTTATCAAAAAATTATTTCTGTTTACTCTTACTAGAGCTTTCAGCAATTTAAAACCTATGTAATCCCCATTTAATTGTATATATTTATTTGGTACATGTTATGAATTAATTTTTGGGTGTGATTTGTTCAAGCCAGGTTGCAAAACACGCTGCTGAAAAAAACTTGACCTTGTCAGAAAAGCTTGATTTCAACATTTTATCGTTCTTTATTTTCCCCAACCTAATGTCAGAACAAATGTTTAAGCACTTATCCTTCATCAAATATAACAATTAACGTAATCCTGTCATAAGGTGAAACTTATATTAAACAGAAATTCACATTTCCACATTAATCATAGTGAAAATGGGGAAATTTGGGTTCCGTGAATTCACATTCTGTAATAATCCGTGGAAATTTTAAAAATGTTGCCGTTGTATCATCAGGACTGACATTATAGTTCAGAATTGTTAGTAAAGTACATGTAAATAAACTCTTCATTCAAAAACCGTCGCATTCTCACCGCTACAAAGATAATTCTTGCAAAGATTTTCAGGTAACACAATATTTCAGGATATTTTTGATAAGTGGTCGAGCTGAAGGTATTCAAAACCTGAGTCGTGAAAGTTTCATTTAAAAAAAGTTTTTCATTTAAAAGTTTCATTAGTCGTTCAAAGTTTCATTTAGTCCACAATGTAGATGCATTCTATGAATATCGCTTAAATTAGCTGAGCAAGTCTAGAATTTTTGTTTAACAGAATTGGAAATTTAGCTTGGTAACTTAGTTCTGCGCGCGCTATTCTTCCTCTACAGCGAATAATGCCAATCTCATCCAAATGAAGCCCAAGTTGACGCACAATGCTTTTATTCTTAGCTTTACCTTCTCCTTTTAGAAAGGACAAAGTTTCGGAAAACGTCGCTTGCTGGCTGGCAAGGACTAGTTTTACTTCTGCCGATCGAAGTTCGCTATAAGATAACCGGCCTCCAGCTAGAGGGAGGAATGGAATTGGCCTTCTGTAAGCACTGCTTCAGTTTTTGGGCGAACCTATACACCCATGCAACAACTCTGATTGCTTTGTCTAGTGAATTGAAATTATCGAGCTCAACAGGAAATTCAGGTGCAGGATCCGGCAGGTTCTGTATTGCAACATTACAGATCTCCAGCAAATTTTCAAGCTCAAAACGTTGATTTGGCCAATTTTGGTTGGCTAACCAAATCGGACCTTGACGCCATAATTGTGATGTGAGAAAGGAGTTGACCGAAATACCTCTGGTCAAAAGGTCAGCAGGATTATCTGTGGTTAGCACATGGTGAATAATAGCCTTAGGGCACAAGTCATGAATATTGGCTACTCGCTGTTTAACATAGCTTTTGTTGGATTTGCAATTCTTGACCTAGGACACGGCAATTTCGCTGTCGGTCCATAGATAAATCTGGCTTATCGTTAGTTCCAACTGAAATGTGGTATACAGAAATTTGGCAAGGCGCGCGGCTACATTTAATGCAGTTAATTCTAATTGTGGGAGAGATGTGGATTTGATGGGAGCAAGCCTTGATTTAGCAATGATAAAGTCCACGGAATGATTTTCGACTAGGTAAGCAACTGCGCCATATAAGAGCGTGCACTAGCATCAGCGAATATGTGCAGTTGTGGATTGTTAAATGACGTTTGCATTTTGCGAGAAAACTCAAGAGGCAACAGAGTATGTAATTCTTTCATGTACGAAATCCAACGCATTTGAAAATTGTCTGGAAGCTGCTCGTCCCAAGAAATCTCCTCTCGCCAAAGGTCCTGAATTAACAATTTGCTCTTGATCGTAATAGGCAAAAGATATCCTAATGGGTCAAATAGTTTAGATGCTTGGCTTACAACAGATCGCTTAGTTGCTACAGACATGGTTAAGTTAATTAAGAGATGAACCAAGGCTCAAGGTATCAGTCTCTGTATTCCACTGCAATCCTAATACATTATACACTGAACATGGGTTTCAGATGTGCATCGCTCTAGATCGTTAAGAATTCGGCTGTTAGATCGCCAGTCTCTAAGGGTAAAGCCACCTTTCCCCATGAGCGCTTTACTGTCTGCGTAGAACTCGACAAGTTCGGCTTCGGTTTTAAAGGAATTTACAACATTATCTACGTATATGTTGCGTTGAATTGATTTAGCAGCGATTGTATTCAGTTGCGATAAATGATAGCGGATTGTCGCGTTTAGTAAGAATTGGCTTGCTGTGGAACCAAACAAAACTACTTTTAATCTGCAAGTTAATATCGGACTGTTTTCGTCGAATGGGTTTTCAGGCCAAAAAAATCTACAAGCATCGCGATCTAATTCGTTTAGGCCAATCATTAGAAATGCCTTCATGATATCTGAAATACAGGCATAGGGATGCAGTCTGAATCTAAGAAGTACACTGGTCAAATCATTTAAAAGGGGCGGCCCAGTCACTAAACAGTCATTAAGTGACGCATGATTTTTGGATATTCTAGCTGAACAATCGTATACTTCTCGTAATGGGGTAGTGACAGAGTTCTTTTTGACTGCATGATGCGGTAAGTAATGAATTATTTGATAAGCGGTGGTAGCAGTATCGACAACTTCTTCTACAAATCCCAGTGATATTTGCTCTTTAATGACGTCATTGTAGGCTTTCTTCATGGCAGGCTCCTTAATAAGGCTACGTCGAAGACTATCGAGCCTTTTCAAAGAAAGATTTTTATTGGTTGGGAGTGGCGTACGATTGGCTTTCCAAGGCAGACTTACTGAATATTTGCCGTTCGAGTACGATTTGCTATCTTTGAATCTTGACAAGTCAGACGCGTCTTCGATCGGTGGTTTAATGCCAACTGCATCAAGTTCCCACATTTGCTTTAATGAATCGTTCAAGTCATTGGAAGAGTCAAATTACGCTACTTTAAGAACAGTTGGGATTTAGAGATTTTGCTTGAAATTTTGACGTTCCCAACGACAAGAAAACCCACTTTTGTTTGAATTGAATACAAATCTTCCAAGATTTTCGTTCCGTAAACGAATTTGCGATAGTTATCAACTCCAATAATTAAACTTACATCTGAATAATCGTCTGTGGACGAATCGTCAGCCGAAACCATTCCAAATACATTTAATCTGTCTATAACCTTCGCTCTACTGACCATCTGAATAATCGTCTGTGGACGAATCGTCAGCCGAAACCATTCCAAATGACTTTAATCTGTCTATAACAGTGGTTCCCAAAGTGGGCGATATCGCCCCCCTAGGGGCGGTGGAAAGATTTTGGGGGGCGATAAGGAAGAAGAGGGCTGTAGGGGGGCGATAGGGGGGCGATGTGGAGGGCGGCTGTCCGAAGTCAATGTCAGAAGTTCGAACGTTTGTTAGACGATTTGTACACAACACGTGCAGCACATGACTCCCAGCGATGGTTTTTTCTGTTTTTTTTTTACCTAGCTCTCCTGGGTTTACGTCTCGGACAAATTAACGGCCGGACTCGAGGCCGGTCTTACGACGGCCAATTTTCAAATTCAATGATCAAGGAATATCACTCAAACTAATGAACTTAACTCGATGAAACTTGGTACAAGTATTCATTAGGTCCTAACGGTAATGTTTTGCTCGTGAAAATTGTTTGAATTTTGCCATCGTTCGTTTTTGCCACAGTTATATGCCAATACGGGCCAAAATCCACAGTGATCAAATAATTTCTTCCAAACTACTGTACTGAACAGATTTGAACGAAATTTTGAATTTACAGTCCTAACTAAAAATTTTTCGATTGTGCCTTCGTTCACGAGTTTTTTTTTTCATTTCTCCTTCATTCGTGATTTAAACAGCAATTCGTGCTTAAATTCGCAGTAATCAAGAAATTTCTTCCAAACTACTGAACAGAACGAAACTCAGTATTTAAATACCTAAACCTCAGCAACGGTGATGTCTACATTTTTTCTTTTTGCCTTCGTTTGCGAGTTATACGGCTATACGTATACTGACTCTGATTTATAGAAGCCATCGATTGATCGGTAAAAAAGCTGATCGTTCCTACTATATCTGTATAACTCGCAAACGAAAGCAAAATGGAAAAATTGTCACGAGCTCAACATCACTGTTGAGAGGTTATGTATTTTTATACAAAGTTTCGTTGAAATCTGTTCTGTATTTTAGAAGAAATTTCTTGATCGCCGCGAATTTAAGCGACAAATTACCCGGCGATACGGGCCGAATATAGGGAAGTGTGAAATCAAGAATAACGGTGAAGTGAAAAAAAAAACTCGCAAACGAAGGTAAAATCGAAAAAATTATATGCTAAAAAAATCACCGCTTGGTAGTTAGGAATGTATATTAAAAATTTCGTTCAAATCTGTTCAATAGTTTGGAAGAACTTATTTGATCAATGCGAATTTTGGCCTGTTTCGCAATATACGCGCAACTCACGAATGAAATGAAATTTAAAAAAAATTTACGAGCTAAACATCACCGTTAGGTTCTGATGAATGCGTGTTCCCAAGTTTAGCAGAGCTGCGTTCATTTGTTTGGGAGATATTTTCTTGATAATTGAATTTGGAGATTGGTCGTGAGACCGGCCATGAGTCCGGCCGTAAATTCGCCCGAGACGTCCTAGGTTTCTAGTGCGGAAACAGTTAAAACATCTGAAAAACATATTGGTTCACTAAATGGGGTTCTATTTGTGAAATACACATTTGTGTTTAACTTTTATCTTTTAAAATTTCAACGTACTAAATTTCAAGAAAGTGGCGTATGTCTGTGGGGGGCGCTAGAA